TAAATCAACAATCCTAACACTCCTCATATGCATTTGTTTTCTTCTTTCCTCCCTCTCTCCCAATTCTCTTCCTTCTGTCTCTCTCTCTTCTTCCCTTTCTCTCTCCTAATCCCTTCCTTCCTTTCCTCCTCCTTTTTTCCTTCCCTCTTCCTCTCTCCCAACTTTGTTCTTCCCTCCCTCCCCCCCCCCATTCCTCTCTCCCAACTCCCTCCCTCCATCCCTCCCTCCTCCTCTCTCCCAACTATGTTCTTCCTTCCCTCTCTCCCTCCCTCCCCCCTCCCTCTCTCCCTTCCTCCCTCCCTCCCCCTCCCTCTCTCCCTCCCTCCCTCCCTCCCCCTTCATCTCTCCCAACTCCCTCCCTCCCTCCCCCTCCCTCTTCCTCTCTCCCAACTCTGTTCTTCCCTCCCTCCCTCCCTCCCCCTTCCTCCCACCCTCCCTCCCCCTTCCTCCCTCCCTTCCTCCCTCCCCCCCTTCATCTCTCCCAACTCCCTCCCTCCCTCCCCCTCCCTCTTCCTCTCTCCCAACTCTGTTCTTCCCTCCCTCTCCCTCCCCCTTCCTCTCTCCCTCCCTCCCCCTCCCTCTCTCCCTTCCTCCCTCCCTCCCTCCCCCCCTTCGCTTATTCCTCCACGACGGCGAGACGGAAGGACCTGAAGATGCTGTCGCTCGCCGAGATGAATCAACCACGAGGACTCTCACTTATCTCTGAACGGCGCGGCTGAGATGAAGGATGCTAGTGACGTCACCCATCACCGCCCTCTGACATCGTTCATTACTTTTTTTTTTTACTTATGTGGTTATTTATTGATTCATTCTTGGATGCGTGTTTTTTTAGATTATTATTATTATTTTTAAAATATTAGTTATTATATATATTTTTTTTCATCTGAATTATCTGTGACATCGGTATTCTACTTTGAAGAATCTATGCTTTTTTTTTTGCTTTTTTTACTCTAAAGAAAAAGTGACATCCATTGGAGGGACTAATATCACTCTCTTTACTTAAAAAAATCACTGACACCAGTTTTCCTCGTTAGTAAAATCCTCTTTTCCATGCCCCTAAACTGTCTTTATTCCCCCGCAACAGTTATAACAACACATACTCTCCAACCTCTCTCTCTGACATCACAATCCTCCTCCTCCTCATGAAACGGAATGATCCTTGAGTTAATCAGCCGCGGCATTTCATCTAGTTATAGATTCATATCTGGGATGTGGTCAGGAGCCATGAAATAAGCAAAGTAAAGGCCCCCCAAGTTGTTTTTTCTTTGCTTGCAGTTCCATCTGACTAGGAATGCTATTTCAGTATGACTAAACTTCCGCCAGACATATTCTGCATTTGTCGTGAACTACCAGTTGCACTGATAAACGCCTTCTGCAGAAACCACTGCCCTGCTGCCAACAGCTTCACAGTAGCCCTGGCACGGGGAGCCCACAGGACACCACAGTAGGAATTCTAAAACTTTCTGTCATCACTATCATCGTTATCACCATCATCACTATCGTTACAATCATCATTATCATTACAACTGTTACTTTCATCATCATTAATCCAACTATTACCTTCATCATCATTACATCTATTACCTTCATCATCATCATTACAACTATTACCTTCATCATTATCATTACAACTATTATATATAACATTATCATTACAACTATTATCTTCATCATTATCATCACATCTACCAAACCCCTAACTTCCCTCTATTTCCCCACAACACCTATAACAACAACACACAACAACCCACCCTTCTTTTCCTTTTCCCAAACCCCTTCTTCACACTCCACAACGCTAAGAAACCTCCCTCAAGAGAGCATAGAATTCTGAGCGATCTGTCAGCTCTCTCTCTCTCTCACTCACCGCTGATACTCACTCTCACTCGGGACCTGTTGTTAGCACATTGTCCTTCAAGAGCGTAATGAAAAGGTCCTTCGAGGCCTCATGTATAATCCTAAGTGCTTGGAACTAAAAGTGAACTAAAAAGTGAACTAAAGTGAACTAAAAAGTCCTTCGGTTCTTCGTGTATAATCGTAAGGCCTTGGATAAGTGAACAGAAAGGTCCTTCGAGTCCTCGTGTATAATCGTAAATGACTTAGACAACAGGAAGAAAATTTCCTTCCAGTCCCCGTCCATGCTCCTCAGGACTTGGATAACTGACCAGCGCCAAGGAAAGCATCCGTGGCGAGGAGAGCGGGGGATAATCTCGGATCAGAGGTACTCGAATCAAGAGCTCTGAATGCTTAATTGCGTTTGTGCATTAGATTTTCAGTTGTTACTCTCACTAGTGTTGCTATTATTAGCATTACCATGACTCTTATTATTATTATTCATAATCATCTTCTTCCTCCTCCTCCTCCTCACCATCATCATCATCATCATCATCATCATCATCATCATCATCATCATCATCATCATCATCATCATCATCATCATCATCATCATCATCATCATCATCTTATCTCAGACGAAAGTATCTGTTCTATTAGAATCTATAAG